TCCCCAGTACCGCATGCCATGCTAGCCCTGTGCTGTGCTGGACCCTGAAACCAGGTGTGGTGGCGCACATCTGTAATCCCTGCACTGGGGAGGCTGAGACAGGAGGATTACTATGAGTATGAGCTGTGTAGTGAGACCCTGTACCAAGTAAGTCAATAAATAAAAATAAGATTAAAAAATGAACATTCAACCTATATTTTGATGGTAACATATATACCAACTCACATACAACTTCTACATTGGGTCCTGGACCGGATGAGACACTTGCTTTGGGTGCAACATTTAAAAGAATATAAAAAACACCCTCACTAATGAAGATGGATAATATTTCAATGCAATTCTTTAAAAGTCACAATTAGTACAAAAAAAAATAGACAATGAGAAAACTATCAAAATTTTAAATACAGAAAGCTAGGCACAGCGACACACACATATAATCTCGTAGCACCAGCCTACAACAGGTTGGGGCAGGAGGATCATTTGAGCTCAGAAGTTCAGGGCCAAACTGGGCTATAAACGCAAGATTCTATCTCAAAAAGTAGAATTAGGGGTGGGGGGATAGCTCAGGACAATAAGCATTTGCCTGGCAAGCACAAGGTCCTGAGTTCAATCTCTGACACCGCAAAAAGAAAGAAAGAAAAAAAAAGAATTAAATAGAGGCAGGATGGCTGATAATTCTGTGCTGATGCTTTTCAGAGTCTAAGCTGAATGAACAAACAGTTTCCTCCTCAGGCTCCGTGTCTTATTCCAAGCCCCATTTCATCTTGTCCATAGATGGGGCTCATGGGAATTTTGTGCCTCAAATAGATCTTGGTAGGTTTAAACAGTTGAAAAGGAAAATAAAAGGAGAGATTTTTTCCTATCTACTTTTGTTGCCAGGAGGGACATTTTATATTCACCTGAAATGGAAAGGCTACTAGCTTTTTTAACTCAACTGGACAGCTTTCACCCAAAATGATATTATGAAAACTTTCCACGAGATGGCGCTCTTTGCAGCCCTCAGGGTCTTCTAGGGCCTATTTTTTTTTTCTTTGCTGAGGAGCAAGTCCATTTTATTTCTTGGCTATACAGCCGTGAGAGCAGTTCTGCACAGAACAGCTCTTTCGCAGCTATTGTGGGATCTGCAGTGCTTTAGGATGATTTCCAATTAGTCTTTTGGGTGACCATCCTGTACCTACCCATATTCCTCTGGGTTGCTTTGAAAGGAACCTTGGTTAACTGTTTCTCCCGAACTGCACTAGCAATCCATTCTTTATGCATTAGATTAGCGGCAAGTGCTCATTTTGTATTGTTTGTTCTTATATGCATGTGGACTGTCTGCCCAAATAGATTATAAAGTCTTTAAGGACTCCTATGCCTCCGGCACTTGGCAGAGTACACTGCCTGGGACAGGCAGTCTGGGAGTACATTTGTCAGTGATGTAGGTGGCATTCTTTTGTTATTCAATACTTTCTGATAACTGTTCCAGGCTAAGCACTCTTTTGGGTGCCCTGAAGACAGGAAAGGTATAGTCTTTGCTCTCAAGCACCTCATAATCTGGAGGAGGGGAGACAGATAATGACAGGGGATAGTGATGAAGTCAGGAAGCAGCTCTGCTGACCCTGGGAACAGGAGGGTTGCCCTGTGGGGTGCATCCTGGGATACCCACGTTCCCCAGAGAGGCCTTTTAGAATCTGGCCTTGCACTCTGATCACAGTATCACTCCTTGGAACTAAAATATGCCAGTATTGGTTGTTTTCTTCCTTTCTTCTCCTGTTTCTAAAGCCTGGCTGATAGGCTTGTGGGAGTCATGTCTGTTAGGATAGTATAGGAATGGTAACAGTTTTCCTTTTTTTTTTCTCTCAAATTCAATGCTTCCATTTTCTAGGGTTTTGTGGTTTGCTTTTCAGCTGTGTGATAATTGTCCTTGGATTCTCAAAATGGCTACTTGAAGAGGTATAAATACATTAGTCATTCTTTCTTGACTTTTATCTTATAGAGGATTGAACCTAGGGCCTCATACACACTGAGAATTTGCTTTACCATGGAGGAAACCTCCAAGCCCAGAAAACCATTTTCTCAATGCTAGGGTTTGAGCCCAGGGCCTTGGCCAGTGCTGGGCAAGTGCTCTATCACTGAGCTATATCCTCCAGCCCTTACTCATTCTTTAATGTGCATCTAAATGCCCCCTTTTCTTCTAATTTTCCAAAGAAGATAAATTATTCTTTTTATACCTTTATAGTACTTCTAACCCAACTTGAATACAAATGGATTTCTGTTGTCTTTTATTATTTTTCTTTTTGTGATACTAGAGATGAAACCTAGGGCTAGGCTTGCATTTGTGATCCTCCTGCCTCATCCTCCAAGTGCTGGGCTTAGAGTGCGTGCCACCACGCCCAGTTCATTTTGCCTATTATATAACTGTTCAGTGCTCATTACGCCTTAGGATAATGAGCCTTTGAGGGCCAAGGATCATATTGTATTCAACTCAGTGTCTCCCTCCAGCATCTTTACCTCCATTATGTACATATAGCAGGCAGAGAATAAATGTTTGTTGATTTAATGAACTGGGAGTTTTGTAACATGATCCACATTTAGTTTTGTAACTTATTGCTCTGAACACACTCAATGATGTCAGTAGTTCCTGTGTGGATTTTGTTTGACTTAGGTTGTAGGAATATTTGCTTGGCAAATGGTCTCTGGGTAATATTAAAGGTTTTTAGGTAGGTCTAGGGTCAGGCTTGGAATTTTTCCTTCCTGTTTCCTTCTTGACACATGTGGCTTTATCACTGTTCATTGTTGGTTTTCCTTATTTTCTAATTTCTTCTAAATGTGTGACACATTCTACTACTGATCTATTTATCTAAGTATCTGCTAAGTGCTGGGGGTGACTTCAGTATTGGGAAGGCAGACTCTGTGCCTGCGTGTTAAAAGTGTAATCCCTTCATCAAATAACAGGTCAATTCAGTGGATCCCTAGGTAGGAAACCAGTCTTGAAGCTTCCTACTTTTGTGCCTCTCCAAAACTCATGTACATACATATACTAGAGGATGCAAATTTATCATTTTCCTGGAAGCCATTTTACATTTCTGCGTATTGAGTTTCAAGCTAATTTCTTTAGCTCCTTGAGTTAAAAGTTCAAATTCTAATTTCACAGCAAGTCGTCGTTTGCAAGAAAGGGCTGAAGTCTGGCTCTCTGTTCTCCCCACTATGGTGAAATTTAGTAATTTTCTTGGCTATATATCTTTTTAAAAAACATCTTAAAACACAGATTTTATGTCTTGACATGTTTGACCTATGTACTGACTCTGTGTGTGTGTGTGTTAAGTATATCAAATGAAGGGCAGAAGCCACAGAAGAATCCTGTGCACGCTCCTGATCTGTAGCCACCACAGTCAGGACCTTAACTCGCAGTGGACCAGCAGTTTGCATCAGAGCTGTCACGGTGAAAACACAATCTGCTAAGGCGATTCTTTTCATAAATCTCTCTAACGGCCTCTGTCAAGGAAGGAAACAACCAAAATGAGTCTCAAGTCTTGTAGCTATTAGATCAAATAATTTCAAGGAGTAAGGAGATTATTAGTTTTGCTCTTTGAGAAGTATGTAACAACTGTACAAACAACATTTTAAAGTAAACTGCCTCAATAAAAGTGGAAAACCAAAAAAACTAGAATGAGATTTAGCTCTGATGGGTGGTCTTTCACCAGTTTTTATTCATTCCTTTTCTTTTATGGCAGTTATTTTGCACTTCTCTGGGTCTAGAAACGTAAATTCGATTACTTGCCTTTTTAGGAACAAGAGAACTTATAAATCAAAACAAAACAAAACAAAACAAAACCAAAAACCAAGACCAAACCTCTACCAAAAGCACCTTAATGGCAGGAAACGGCCAGAAGGCAGCTGCAAACTTGGGCCGCTCCGATTTTCTGCGGATTCCCAGTCCCACCTCGCCCCTCGGGGAGCTCCGCCTGTTGCGCTCTCCCCGCCAGAGCCAGAGACCATCCCTCCCTTCCCGGGTCGCGGCCACCGCGGCCAGGGCCGCCCTGGCTGTTCTCCACCGCTCCGGGCTGACGGCGTCGGGGCAGCGCGAGGGAGGCGCGGCGGCCAGGGCTGTGCACAGGGCCGCGAGGGGCCGGAGGCCGCCATGTTCCCGCCCC